TCCAGCGGGCGGAGCCCCCAGAAGCCCAGGTTTTTTTTTAAGCATTACATTACCGTCACATTTCTCTTTAAAATGGCTGTTATTTTACAAACGCATAAAAAAAGGATAATTTACTAAAGAATGAGGAAAAATCTCGGAAAATTATGTCATTTCAGCATTATGTGTAAACCAATGTTATGGAATAAGAAATAAACCACGTTTAAATTTTATTTGCCCCGAGCCCCCTCCCCGATCAATACGCCAGTGCCCCCCTCCCCCCCCCCGATCTGCACTTTGTTGGCGGAAAAATCGCAACTGATCTCCCCTACCTTTCTTCTTTCTCTTTTTTTCTTTCCCTTTCTCTCCACTTTCCCTTTCCCTTCCCTTCCTTCTCTCTCTTTTAGGTTTGATGGGGGGGGGGGAGGGGGGAGGGGGAGGCAAGGTCATTTCGGCCCCACCCTTCTCCACACGTTGTTGTTTTATCATTCTATCATTGTTATATAAGTCTTTGATTTTGTTATATTGTGTTATTGTTTTTTATGATGATTTTCGGAAATAAAACAACTGCAAATGATTTATTTCTCCTTCTTTCACCTTTTTCCCGGTCCCTTTTAGCTCTCCTTTTTTCCTTTTCCTTCTTTCTCTCTTTTTTTTTAGCGGGGCGGGGGGAGGCAAGGGCATTTTGCCCCCCCCACCCCGATCCACAACTTGTTGGCAAAAAAATTGCAGCTGATACCCCCTTCTTTCTATTTCCTTCCTTCTCTCTTATTTTTTTATTGGGGGAGGGGGGGAGGCGAGGCTCTTTCGCCCCCCCCCTCCCCCACCGATCATTTCTTCCCCCTTTTCTTTTCTTTTTCCTCTTCTTTCTTTCCCTTTCTCTCCTCTTTCCCTTCTTTTCCTTCTCTCTCTCTCTTTCCTTTTTTTTTTCCCTTCTTTTTTTTCCTCCTTTCACCCCCTTTTTTTCCCTTTGTTTTTTTCCTTTTTTTTCCCGGGGGGGGGGGGGGGGGCGGCCCCCCTGGATCCGCGCCTGCTAGCAACACGCTATGCATTTGGTGCCAGCTCGCTGTAGCTTCGACAAAAGTTGGGCGCACGACAACGCACTGGCCAAAATTGCAAATGTCCAATGCGCTGGCCGTGCGTTCCCCATGCGTCCCCTCTGCGTGACCGGGCCTTAAGCTTTCCAAATAATGTGTCATTTATTAATTATAAATGTGATTAAGTTATGATAAAGCATCGATAATTCTCGGTTTCGTTTTTTCTGGGACGCACTGTACACAACACAGTCACAACCTATGCGTACAGATATACACAACTTCCACTAATTCCCTCATGGAAAATCAGAAAAAAAAAACTGTAGCGTGATTGGTTAAAACACGCGCACCAAATTAATATGCACGTATACGTGCTGTACGCCACAAAACAAAATCTACATTATAACAACAGAATATATTAAAGAACAAGACAGAACCGGTTTGAGACATGTCTGCAAATTAAAGCCGGACAGCGGAGTGAAAAGGTATCACGACACCATCTCGAAAAAAGGCTAGCCATACGTATCAAACATGTAAATCTACAAATCAATGCATAAATTCGTAAAACGTTATTCTACATGCAAAAGTAAAACAATCGTGCCATTTGGTCACTACAGAGCCAATGAAATACACTACAGTTCTCCGTTCAAAAACTTTATTGTTTAGCCAACTTTTCAATGGTCTACTTCGATTGATTTTTACCCTGCTTATCTGCTATTTATTCTCATCATTTTTTAAATGTAGTCTTTAGTGACATGTTATTATTTTTCGCTCTCCCTATCTATCATATTAGAATGCCCTGCTGGTAAGTGGGGTCCTCCTGAGTGTTATGGTATATGCGATAAATGCTACAATGGTGGAGTCTGTGATGACAAGTCTGGTCTATGTTTCTGTCCTAACAACTTCAAGGGACCGAATTGTTTAGAAAGTAAGTAGGTCTGCAGAACTTCATGTGGAATGGTGGTTATTTTTTTAATCTCTCAATAGATGTATTGAGGAAGATATCTCTTGACCTATTCCATTGAAAATCAACAGAGTAATGTACATTTATTTTACATGTTCATTTCAAATATTGTTCTACCTGCCGAGGAGATGCCGAGGCAGAATAGTATTATTGATAATTTCTTTTAAAATGTTAATATATGTACTTGTCAATCTTCATTTTACCAGGAATCGTTAACAAGAATAAAGTTGATTTATCATTTATAATTCTGTTTATAACGTATATCTTTCATGTATTTTTAATAGTCTGTTATATAACTTAAATGACCTTGTAAATACTTTGTAAAGCGACCCTTTCTGCCAGAGCTGCGAGTCATTCTACATAATTATACGTGTATATACACTCAAAATCAATACAAAAAATGAATGACAAATAATATACAGCAGGGAAAAGATTTACTTTTGTTTTAAAATGTCTAAATAATGATCGACGAAATTTGTTATCCATGGTATGGGAGGGTTTTATTCTGTGTAGTAAAAACTATTGCTTTTAAAGAGCAGTAGACACCATTAATATTTTGCCAAGGAAATTACAGGAAAGCAACCATATATGAAAATTATCTCATGAAATCTTATTTCTTATGCAACTATTTTGTTTTCTTCAGTTTGTAGAACTGATGTTGGAAATAGATTTGGATTGGACTGCGAATTCCAATGTGTTTTAGATGATTCTATCGCAGGATGTCATAGGTTTCTTTTTGCCTTCCTGATCCTTATGGATGTTCATGTGACGTCGGTGCCCGTGGTCTTGCATGTAACACACGTAAATATTCCAATAGCCAATTAATTTTGTTTAAATTCTGATAGTGAAAAAATGTCTTGATCGAAGGCTTTAAAATTAAACATCTACCATTCTTAGAAATTCTAGTTTTTCTTGAAATATCAAAAGCACACACCAAAACGTGGATAGAGCATGAGTGAGGTCAGGCGCAACTCAGTGGAGAAAAGAAAGAGAAAGAGAAGAAGAAGAAGAAGGATAAGAAGAAGGAGAAGAAGAAAGGAAGAAGGAGGAGGAGGAGGAGAATGAGAGGAATAAGGAAGAGAAAATGAAAAAGGAGATGAAGTTATTGTAACATGCACAATATTTATATCTGATGAATGTATTTTATCTGTCCATCCTGATTTTGTATTTTGAATTATATTACAGTATGTACTATTGGTACATATGGTCCAGGATGTTCACAGACATGTCACTGTGCAGGCGGTGGTTCATCATGTAATATTTACAGTGGAATATGTACAGGTGGATGTCAGACTGGCTGGTCTGGGGACAACTGTCAAAGTAAGTCATGGGCAGCAATGATAACAAATAATATGGCATAAATGCTTTCCCACTATAAGATAAATCAGAATTTTACATGTGCACTGTATCTTTGTAATTTTTGTAATTTTGTTATTTGTTTACCCCATTGCCTACGGGACCGGATGGCTCCTGTTTTTATACCTCTTTGAAATAAGATAATTCAGTAGACAATGAGTCAACTTATTATTTTTATTTTTTGTGTATGGACAAACCCACTCTTAAGCTTTGTTTTGGGGACAACTCACCCCATATATTCCATTTTCATTAGAGTGGTAATAGTAGCAGAAGTAGTAGTAGTAGTGGTAGTAGTATTAGCCGACTGGACGACTTTATTGGAAAACTCGTTTAGCACCAGGCTAATCTGCCATAATGTCAAATTCATGTTTATTAATAGAGGAGATGATTTATTTATAAAAATACACAAGAATTTACCAAGTGAAGCCACTGCAGATTCAAGAATATGTGTAATAATTGAAAACAACAGTGCGAACATAAAATTAAATGACTAGTCACAAGGAAATAATCTAAGTGCCGTAAAGAGTTTACTTTTTTGCTAGTAGTACTTGTTAAATTGTGATTTCTAAAATACTGTTTTATCATCCTCAGTTCCAGATGAATGTGAAGACGGCTACTATGGGTCTCAATGCACTGATAAATGTCATTGCTTGAATGATGAACCATGTGATAAAGATACTGGAGAGTGCCCTGTGCAGGAGTGTGCTCTAGGATACACAGTACGCAGTGGCAAGGTCGAATGTCAAGGTAAGATGATATTTTTCAATAAAGGGTGTTGAAATTTCCATATCAATTCCTCTTCATTTATCTCTAGACTCCATGCAATGTGTACATATGGTTGAGTGTGCATACCATAATGTGTTTATGTACACATGTATGAACACTCAGAGATACATGTATGTACATTAGGCATAGTACCCTCATTTATGTACATAATGCAGTGATAGAAAAATATATTTATATGCATGTATAATCTGGAGGAGGGTTCTATATAGCTAGTATACAAACATTGACTGCTTTGAGGGGCCTGGTTGAACCTATTGCCCAAGCTGATCTTGAAACTGTACTCTGCCTCGAGACACAGTTGAGTTTATTAGAGTATAACCTCCAAAATCAACAGTCATTATTTGTTATACGATACTTCTACAACTGCCACAATTGTTCCCTGTCATCATACTTCACTAACCAAGTTCTCAGACCATAGACCTAGTCCAGAATCTGGCCGGTTCTTTATATTTCCTACACTTGATTTGTTATCAACGAACACATAATTATGCTCACCAGCCCAGCCTAAGAATCGCCGGGCGTCCCAATTTAAGGATCACGCCATCTTCGGCTGGCAGCAAGTAAGTAGTGGAAGGTACGGTCGCATTGCTTGGTGTGGTGGAGATAATTTTTTTTTTAATAGGCCGGATTCGGGAATACGATTGACCCAACAGTGACCTGACCCTAACCGTAAACATCACCTGAAACCCTCTTGCATCATAAACCCTAACCCGTACCCTTGATGAAAAAGCCCGGACTAATTGTCCCAGGAGCAAACGTCTGGTCTCCTTAGAATACAACTTAACACATCACATAACAATTCACAGTAGTATTCTGTAGCAGAGAAAGAGAGAGAGAGAAAGCTGTATAAATTCATTGTCTTAGAATGAAGAGTTGCAGCCAGCATGGTGAGCTGTCCACCTGAAAGTAGTAATCAAGAGAACAGCAGATCTAGAGGTGGTCTCTGAACAGCTCGCTGGAACAGATTTCTGATAATCCTGGACCTTTACTTCTTAGTTACACATACTCACAAAGACATGAGCCAGATGAAATTTCTCATTTCACAGGGTTACAATGATTTGATTTTTGCTTTTACAACCCTATTTCCAGTAGACCCCAGCCAAAGTTATCTTCGTTTTTGGTGTTCATGTGTAATCATTGACCATTGACCAGATTTTACCAATATACTCAACCTTTGTTTTATATTTTTCAGAGTGTGAAGGGGGTACCTTTGGTTTGGATTGTCTTCAGCAATGTCATTGTTCTCCAGAGGCCTGTGAGAAGGAGAGGGGTATTTGCACGGGACAATGCCTTGATAGCTGGTTTGGACCCTACTGTCAAAGTAATTATACCCAGCATTTTGTATTTTGGTTTGTCTTCTTGTTCAGCTGAAGATCGTTCAGATTATAAGCAGCCTCAGAGTGCATATGGAACTATGTGTGCATGTATTTCATTGCGGTTAACTGTAATTCACAATCTTGCTCAATAAGCTTGTGGAGCAAGTACTTTTACTTCAGTTTCAGCTTATTCATTTGTATAGCACCACCAGCATCTCTGCCAGCGGATACCGGCACTATATAAAGCCGTTATTATTATTATTGTTTATGTTATTTTATTATCTTTAATTGCTTAAACAAAGTATATATTTTCTTATTGTTTCTCTTTGTGCAAATGTTTACACATACAAATGTTTTACATGCAACATGCAGTAAGTGGAAGTGTAACGGAAAAAAAAATTAAACAAACTTTTTCTCGACCAAATGATTATCTGTTATTGGATAATCTTTGTAGAACAAAGCGGATATACATAGAACATGATTAATAATAGCAAGTTGTTTTTAAAGTGGATTAATGATTTGCTTGCCAGGAGTATTGCATTGATATACATAAGGCCATTCGATTTAGATCAAAGTAATCAGATAATTAAGAAATCGTTGCATGTTTTGGCATTTTATATCTAAACTGTGTTTTCATCTTCTCTTGAGTACGTTCTCTTACTTCACTACCGTCAGGCTAAATGTATAATCTATTGACTCACTCTAAACCCCGCGCATGGTTTTATTTTGATCTCAAATGCAGCGATACAAAAATAAGACGCCATTGTATATTCAGCTGCACACACCGCGGTATATGTTCGGCGTTTCAAGAGGGAACAAATGCCGTCCTTAATATCATTCCGGGGTTTTTTCAATTTGAAAGTGCGGTTTCTTTGATTGTTAATTAACCCCTATAGTGTATTTACAAGCAAAAGATTTTTATAATCAGAATAGGGTCATATCCCCTTTTGAATGGTTTGACATGCCATTACATTTATGTACACTAAACTCATTATAATTTGACAAATAATAGCTTTGCAATTATGTTCATTCTTTATGGGATATCGTCTGCTTGGACAGTATTGGTCTATATAGTAACGTCATTAAAACATCGTATATTTTTTCCGGCGAATCTCTCGTATATCCCAGCTGCTATGGAGGTGGTTGTAATTGTATTTTTTATAAATCACCCGATATGTAGTTGACCTAAAACGTGTACGATGGCCATCTATTAGCTTACCAGTTTCTAGTGATACATTAGTTGACATATTTGTGATTTTCTTTAAATTTCACCTTTAAAAGTAAAACAGGCAAGAAGTCCATATCCACCACCAAAATCCAAACTAAAATCACAGTGAAGATGTTTCCAGGGCAATAAGAACACCAAATATTGATAATCGTTGATAATAGTTGATAAAATTGGTCGCAAACTGAAGAAAACAGGAGAAAACAGGACAGCTCTGTTCGTGCGTATATGTGCGTACATAGCCCCCTCATCTCAGTATTATTATTTATGTCCCTTTTCTGTTTGTCAGGTCTGCCAGTCATAGAGAAAGCACCAGTGATAGTGAGCACCACGTCAACTACAGTAGGTCTTCGATGGGATGCATGGTCTGAAGAAGATGACATAGGTGATCATCCTCTGATAGGATATGATGTCTTTGTAAAGAAGGATGGTGACTGGGTAATGGATCAGAGAGTAGACCAACTCACAACATCAGCCATCGTTAGTAACCTGACACCCGACACCGATTACAGTTTTTGTGTAGCAGCAGTGAGAGAAGGAACAGGTGGAACAGGACCTTTATCTCCGAGGAACAACACAATAACTCTCTGTACAAGTAAGTTATGTTCAGAAGATAAATGCTTGAATCTGCCAAGGGTTTGTCATGATTTCAGAGTGCAGAATAATTTTTTTGAAGATGCTTATTTTTCAATGTACATTTATCTACAGGAGAGTACATGTATTACATCATAACTTCATTATTTATCAAATTGGGATATTTCAGCACTTTCCTATGATTGAAGGCTTTTTAACTTATTTAGTTCTGTGAGTAAAATCTGTTTATAGAAATGTTTCTATTTTCCATTCCATACAGATGCATTCTCCTTTTTAATTGTTCTATCTTTCTAAAATTTGAAACAGAAAATTTCTTCTACAAAATATGCATTTTCTCAAATATGTTTATAGTATCCTTCATTGTGTTTTGCCCAACGGTAGTTTTAAGTTTGACTTATTGACATTTAGTTCAAAACCACATGAAGAGCACCTGTTGTAGCAGTCTATGATATTACCATGATGAGCATGTTCATATATTGAACTTATCTACTATAGGTCCAAGCCATTTTTTTAGTATCTTCTATATAATTTTGAACTTCAGAACCCAGTGCCTCTCCAAGTGGACTACATGTGGCAGCCATCAACACTAAAGAGCTTGAGGTGACATGGGAGGTATGAACTGTTTAAGAATAGCTATTTGGTCACTTAGTGAAATGAAGTTAGATGAAAAGACTCGTCCCGAACACAAAATGTATAACTGTAAATAGTCATATTTTGTATCACATACATGTAGAACCTTATCGTTAGGATATGGAACTGGTAAATGCATGTAAAACCTTGATTAGACATAATTTTACTTACAATTTCCTCAAAATATGCTAATTAAGAACTTTTTCACATCACTTACTATCATGCCTCCGGCATTTCGGATGTTTATTTAGGGACCTCAATGTTTGACTAAATGAAATACGACTTGTGTAGAAGAACATCTTTTTTTGCTAGTTTGAAATATGAGCTGTTTGGGTTTATGAAATGGAGTTTCGATTTTATTCCAAAGAAGTAGTAAGCATGTTTTGTGATCAAGAGATTGTTGTTCGATCGGCAAAAAGCTCCATCATGTTGATTGAAGCATCCTTACTAATGCGAGAAATTGTAGACAATACTTGATAACATCTTGTAGTTGTGTTTATTATTGCGAAAGTGACTTCTTTTATGTGGTTCTGATGCATGTAACATGTATTTGCACCACTTTTATGTTTTAGCACCTCCCCTCGGAATTGGCAGAATGCAGGAGTGGTGTGACTCATTATATGATCTACTACGCTTCCACTGGGTCAACTTCTTTAAACTCTGTCATGGTTCCTAATGACACAAGCTCCTACACGTTAAGAGGGTTGGAAACCTATCTGGACTATTCCATTCAAATGACTGCTTCAAATAAAGACGAGGAGAGTGACAGGAGCAGTGAGACCATCGGCAAAACACTTGAAGAAGGTTCGTGTTTATCTTGGGATATTTTATTTATTTCTGGGGGTGGGGGAGTAATTGCTTTGCCTGTTAAGTGACATAGCTAATATTCTTGCCGATATCTTTGTGACAACCTACTGCCACCTGACTATTTTGTTGACTTTCAACTGCATCTATATCTATATGGCCTCGTTACTGTGAGACCCCATGATCAAAACCGTGTCGATATGCTTTATTAGTGCCCTTTTATGAGGCATTAATTATCATTACTGTCAGTTATGACTTAAGGACGTAGGTCCACTAGTTGATTAGCATAGTAGCACACACATGCTTTAGCAGTCACGCCAAAAAAAAAACACTCCCCAATTGTCATTCAATAAAATCTGAGAATGTATACTGTTATTTCGATCTATTAGGAATCAATCATCGTCAAAATCATTCAATAAATCGGGGTATTAATTACACCACTATGACCAACAGTGTATATATATAAAGCAGTGTTTTTATAATCAACTCCTTCTTTCTGCCTGATTTAGGCATTAGAGTACTATTTCTTAATGTCATTAAATTGTCATTGTGATTCCAACTCTGATCTTCTTTTTATACAATTAGTCGCTTTAATTGCAATCGTGATATATTTGTTTTCTGGAATTAGAAATTGCACTAACCTGTTAAGACGATACTTACAATAGTGATTGATATTTTGGAATATTGATTCATAAGTCTTCCATATTTCAGTGTGAATTTTTTTATTAATAATTTTCTTCTGAACAGTTGCACCTAGTCCTATCAATGTGGCTATTACGCAGAGTACTACGCACTCCTTCACTGTATCTTGGTATACCCCTCTACCATCTAACATCAATGGTAACATCCAGAAGTATATCATCCGCTACAAGAGAACTGATCCAGCTGGTGATGGCAATTATAAGATGGAGGAAGTATTGACTGGTGCATTTGATGGAGAATATACTGTGATGGACCAGGCTAGTAAAATCAGCTATACAGTTCAGGTAACTAAAGTCTTGACCTCAATCCTTAAGACCCAACGATTGAGGAAATTTTCAATCTCTTCATATTTTAGTGCAAGCTTTCAGTGTGTAATACATTGTAGAATGAACTGTTATCCTAAGCGCTGAATATTGGAGAAACTCAGTCGGTAGAGCAGTGGTCTCGTTATCCGGTGAATCGGGTTCGAAACCCGGGTTAATCCTCATTACCAGGTCCCTCGGAGAGGACCTTAAGCCGTCGCACAGTGGGCCAGGGAGGAACCAAAGTGCGCCAAAATTCATGTTTGGGGATTTATTTTTTATAAATCCAGAGGAAATGTTTGGATTTCCAATGTTTGGATTTTCGCTTAAATTGTATTACCAACATTTTCTCTGATGTCTAAGCTTTAAGTTGATACCAGATTTGGCTGCCCGATTCTGCCCTTTATTATGTTAGAGCCGCTTTCCTTGCAACATTGCCCCGAAAAATGTGTTTATTTTGGTCCCGCGGTATCAGAACAAGTGTCTCGCGCCCCCTCGCGCCGTGATTTATGACCACGAATCCCTTCATGATTCAGCCGCGGACCAAAAAGACCCACATTTTTCGGGGCAATGTGGCAAGGAAAATCGGCTCTAACATAACAACGGGCAATATCGGGTAGCCAAATTTGGTATCAACTTGAAGCTTAGACATAAACAAAAATGGTGGTATTAAAATTTAAGCGGTACACCGCGGAGATCTAAACATTTCTTCTGGATTTACAAAAAACATGGATAATTAGTCAATTTTTCAGTGAATTACCCTATAATATATCATGAAGATTGTGTTTCTATTAATTTTAACCCATTCATTCAACGAAATGAACTATCAGGAATATGTGAGAGCAATTTCATATCAATAACTTAAAAACTTCATGTTGAATTGAAAGATTTATAAAATAAGTCACTTTTGCACTAAAACTGTGAATATGTAGGATTTTGCTGTTTGACGTAGTAAATTTATACCCTTATTGTGCAAACCGGAATTAAATATTTCACTGAGGTATTCCTCTATGTATTACCTTTCAACTGGGCAAGAACAAAAATTGAAAAAATAAATCACCCAAACTTAGTTTTGGCGCACTTTGGTTCCTCCCTGGCCCACTGTGCGTCGGTCTTCTGGTTGCTTACTAACAAGCATTTATTGCTTTCTTAGCTGTCAGGTGAAATAACCACCACTATCACTTTAAGATGAAATCACAGATTGATTCTCTTTCGTATTTGTGCCATTGATCTAACAAGCAATCCCCAATTACATGCGTGATATTGCATTCAAACAAATCAAATTTGAATGCTTTAACGGCATCTAAATATTGACTGTTGTGATGCGGACGGTTATGATAATTGTAGATTGGTATTTTCTCCAGGGTTTTAATATCTATAATTAAGAATGAAACAATTATTCTGTATGTTTCGTGTGTGGATGATGTTTATTTTGTCATTATTTCTGCTACACCTTTTTAAATTTTTGTCTACGCTTGTCAGGTCCAAACTGTCAATGGAGCTGGTTCAAGTAATTGGTCCGAACCAGTGAATGCAAAGACCATCCTCTTAGGTAAGAGCATGAATCGAATGAAACTTGTTCTACCCTGAATATCATACTTTAAAAACATTGCTTATGTAATGTGGTGTTTTAAAGGATGTAGAATTAAACTGTATTCGGCATTTATTTAATTGTTCTTTCATTTTCATATGTTCTATGTTATTCCTGTTTTGTTTATAATGCAGATGCTTTTATATAATTATTTTGTTGTTGTTCTCAGAAGTGCGACTTTGAGCCTTTGATTTCAAGAGAATTATGTGCCTTACAAATCTTATTTATTATTATTATCATTATTATAATTAAATAACAGCTACATGTCAAACTAAAGTCAAATGTAACCGTCAGGTTTATGAAAATATGAAGGTAAGTATGTAGCTTATTAGTGTTATTTACATTTTCATAATAATATCATTCTTTATTCTCTACTTGATTTGCTGAATTGCTTTGGAAAATTTGAATAGTCTCAGTGCACTAATCATGTATTATTCAAAATAAGCAGAAACGGAATGTATGAATCCAAAACCATGTCTTTGTTACCTCTTTTTGTGAAAATACATGAGAAAAGTAGAAAAAATGTCATTTATGAATATAATTATAATCAAAATGCAAAATCAATAAAAACTTTGTGAAACAGACCAAAAAAATGTTCGCATACTTAAGTCACAAGTGACAACAGCATAATTACATGTATATGTATTTTTGTTTGTGCTAAAGGTGATGATAATGTTACCAGGGTACCACTAGGGGCTGTCATAGGGGGTGTGATAGTACCCCTCGCTTTCATCGTTATACTAATATTTACTGTGGTGATGTATAGAAGGTAAGTTAACTCAACAATAGTAGAACAATTCAAGTGAATTCAATGCCACTGTCTTGTAACATTGTTACAAATAAAGATAACAATCTATTGTAAATAGGACGTTAAAAAAGGTAGAATACTTGACCATCTAAAGTAAGCCAACACGATAGCGGATAAAGACAGTGATTGCAGGATTTTCCTACTTTAAAGGGCATTACTAAATATCTATTATGATTTGTTTATAATACGTGTGAAGGTTTTGCCTTATGAGGGGAATCCACATACAATCACGTGCATACAGCTGTGCTCATCAGGGACCATTCCTACTTCATATTTATCTGAACGTTTTGTGTTTGTGTGGGTTTGTGTTTGTGTGTGGGGTGCGTGTGTTATGATGTAGATGTAGGGATTTGACTGAGAGTATGCTCGACTGATTTAAAGGGGGCGAACCAAAGCAAGGGAGGAAGGGAGGGATGGAGGAAAGAAAAAAAAGAAAAAAAAAGTAAATTCAACGATGTTACAAAGTAAAAGGAAAAAAATGTTGTTTTTAATTGAATTTCACTTCCAGGATCAAACAAAGACGTTTAAATGCTGAACCAGCCGCGTCGCCACCAAATTCTGCTCATGAGACCTCTTCGAAGTATGGGAACTCTGCTTATGATGACTCGGACACCCATACATACCAAGATCTCAATATAGACACACCGAACATCCAGAATCTTACCGACGCACATACCTATCAAGATCTTAAGAAACCAAACATCAACGTTATCTATCAAAATGTCACAGAATCAGACCCGGGAAATACTTACGAAGATACAGTTTAGTTTAGTTTAGTTTATTTCCTTATTACAAAATTACACCCGCTATCAGAGGGCCGGCTTAACCTAAAAAACAACAACATATAGTCATAAAAAATTTGACATGGTAACAGTATAAGTCTACATAATCGCATTCACATAAAAGTAATATTCATATATTACAATTAATTTAAAGTTGTTTGACATGCACTAAAAACATACCCCCCCCCAAAAAAAAAAAATAAGGCTGAAATCAGGTAAAGAAATTGTTTGTAAGTGGATAGATCCGAAAAAAGTATGGTCATGTTCTAGTATATCTTAAAGAAGTTGTGATCTGATGCAGGCGCTGATCCAGAGGGGGGGGGGGCCGAGCGGGCCTTGCCCCCCCCCCCCCGCAAAAAAAAAAAAAAAGAGAGAGAAGAAAGGAAAAGAGGAGAGAAAGGGAAAGAAAGAAGAGGAAGAAGAAAAGAAAAGGGGGAAGAAGGAGATTGGGGGCCGAAAGGGCCTTGCCTCCCAGGCTGTTGACCCCCCCCCCCCTAATAAAAAAAAATAAGAGAGAAGGAAGGAAAGGGAAAGAAAAAAGGAAAAGAGGAGTTACTGGCGTACTGGGGAGGGGGGGGGGGGGGCTTGGGCGAAATCAAATTCAAACGTGGTTTATTTCTAATTCCACAATGGTGGATTACAAATAATGCTGAAATTACATAATTTCCGAGATTTTTCCTCACTTTTTAGTAAATTATACGTTTGTATGTGTTTATTGGAAAATGACAAATTCCTAAATTTACAGCCAGGCAAGAAATATGATTCTTGAGATTCCTAAATGTCAGGGCGCGAGGAACGGCGGGGATCGGGAGCCTCGAGCTCCCTCCCCCTCCCCCACTTTTTTTGAAAAAGTATATTAAAGAGAAATAAAGTAGAATAAGAGAAAGAAAGAAAGAATAGTTAACTGCCAGTGTTAAAAACTAATGTGGCATCAAAATATGCTCATCTGACCGTGATTAAATGCCTAAAACCCCTAGGCTACCGGGGGCTCTGCCCCCTGGATTCCACCTAGGGCCCTACGGCGGGCCCCTCAATGCTTATCTGACCCTTAATTTATTGCCTTAAACCTCTGAGCTTGCGGGGTCGGACAAGGTTTAAAAATGTGTTTATATGACCGCATGCGCTTAGCCAGGGCTAAGCTAATCGGAAGAGGACGTAGGAAGAAAAAGGAGCAGACAAAGAACATCTTTGAAATTCGGATTAAGAATCGAGAACGGTACAGCGAATCGTCTTCTTTCTCTCATAATCTTATGAAACGTCAAATCTTCCGCGCTTCGCGCGGGAGGGGGGAACCTAAATTCAGACGAGGATTCAGAGGCGAGAACGGTAATACGAATCTTTAATGATTTAATATAACGTAAAAGCTCCCGCTCTTCGCGCGCGATGGAGGGGGAACTAAATTCTGACGATAATTATTTTCGCAGACAAAGAACATCTTTGAAATTCGGATTAAGAATCGAGAACGGTACAGCCAGTCGTCTTCTTTCTCTCATAATCTGATGGAACTTAAAAGCTTCCGCGCTTCGCGCGAGAGGGGGGAACCTGAATTTAGACGAGGATTAAGAGTCGAGAACTGTACAGCCAATCGTCTTCTTTCTCTCATAATCTTATGAAACTTAAAAGCTTCCGCGGTTCGCGCGGGAGAGGGGGGGGGGGGACCTGAATTCAGACGAGGATTAAGAGTCGAGAACTGTACAACGAATCGTCTTCTTTCTCTAATAATTTAATGAAACGTAAAAGCTTCCGCGCTTCGCGTGGGAGGGGGGGGGGAGAATCTTAATTCAGACGAGGATTATTTTCGAAAACGGTACAACGAATCGTCTTCTTCCTCTAATGATTTAAGGATGCTTAAAAGCTTCCGCGCTTTGCGCGGGAGGGGGGGGGGACCTAAATTCAGACGAGGATTTAGAGTCGAGAACGGTACAACGAATCGTCTTCTTTCTCTAATGATTTAATGAATCGTAAAAGCTTCCACGCTTCGCGCGGAAGGGGGAAAACTGAATTCAGACGAGGATTACGATTCGAGAACTGTACAACGAATCGTCTTCTTTCTCTAATAATTTAATGAAACGTAAAAGCTTCCGCTCTTCGCGTGGGAGGGGGGGGGGGATCTAAATTCAGACGAGCATTATTTTCGAAAACGGTACAACGAATCGTCTTCTTTCTCTAATAATTTAATAAATCGTACAATTTTCCGCGCTTCGCGCGGTAGGGCAAAAACTAGATTCAGACGAGAATTCCATTTCGAGAACGGTACAACGAATCGTCTTCTTTCTCTAATAATTTAATGAAACGTAAAAGCTTCCGCGCTTCGCGTGGGAGGGGGGGGGGGGGGAGAATCTTAATTCAGACGAGGATTATTTTCGAAAACGGTACAACGAATCGTCTTCTTCCTCTAATGATTTAAGGATGCTTAAAAGCTTCCGCGCTTTGCGCGGGAGGGGGGTGGGGGGGGGGGGGAACCTGAATTCAGACGAGGATTTAGAGTCGAGAACGGTACAACGAATCGTCTTCTTTCTCTAATGATTTAATGAATCGTAAAAGCTTCCACGCTTCGCGCGGAAGGGGGAAAACTGAATTCAGACGAGGATTACGATTCGAGAACTGTACAACTAATCGTCTTCTTTCTCTAATAATTTGATAAATCGTAAAAACTAGATTCAGACGAGAATTCCATTTCGAGAACGGTACAACGAATCGTCTTCTTTCTCTAATAATTTAATGAAACGTTAAAGCTTCCGCGCTTCGCGTGGGAGGGGGGGGGGGAATCTAAATTCAGTCGAGGATTATTTTCGAAAACGGTACAACGAATCGTCTTCTTTCTCTAATGAATAAGGGAAACTTAAAAGCTTCCGCGCTTCGCGCGGGAGGGGGGGGGGGGGGGGGAAACCTGAATTCAGACGAGGATTAAGAGTCGAGAACTCTACAACGAATTGTCTTCTTTCTCTAATAATTTAATAAATCGAATAAAGTTCTGCGCTTCGCGCGGTAGGGCAAAAACTAGATTCAGACGAGAATTCCATTTCGAGAATGGTACAACGAATCGTCTTCTTTCTCTAATAATTTAATGAAACGTAAAAGCTTCCTCGCTTCGCGTGGGAGGGGGGGGGAATCTAAATTCAGACGAGGATTATTTTCGAAAACGGTACAACGAATCGTCTTCTTTCTCTAATGATTTAGGGAAACTTAAAAGCTTCCGCGCTTCGCACGGGAGGGGGGGGGGAACCTGAATTCAGACGAGGATTAAGAGTCGAGAACTCTACAACGAATCGTCTTCTTTCTCTAATAATTTAATAAATCGAATAAATTTCTGCGCTTCGCGCGGTACTAGTTTTTGCCCTAGTAGGGCAAAAACTAATTTCAGACGAGAATTATTTTTCGAGAACGGTACAACGAATCGTCTTCTTTCTCTAATAATTTAATGAAACGTCAAAGCTTCCGCGCTTCGCGTGGGAGGGGGGGGGGAAATCTAATTTCCGACGAGGATTATTTTCGAAAACGGTACAACGAATCGTCTTCTTTCTCTAATGATTTAGGGAAACTTAAAAGCTTCCGCGCTTCGCGCGGGAGGGGGGGGGGGGGAACCTGAATTCAGACGAGGATTTAGAGTCGAGAACTCTACAACGAATCGTCTTCTTTCTCTAATGATTTAATGAATCGTAAAAGCTTCCACGCTTCGCGCGGAAGGGGGAAAACTGAATTCAGACGAGGATTACGATTCGAGAACTGTACAACGAATCGTCTTCTTTCTCTAATGATTTAATAAATCGTAAAATTTTTCGCGCTTCGCGCGGTAGGGCAAAAACTAGATTCAGACGAGAATTCCATTTCGAGAACGGTACAACGAATCGTCTTCTTTCTCTAATAATTTAATGAAACGTAAAAGCTTCCGCGCTTCGCGTGGGAGGGGGGGGGGGGGTGGGGGATTCTAAATTCAGACGAGGATTATTTTCGAAAATGGTACAACGAATCGTCTTCTTTCTCTAATGATTTAGGGAAACTTAAAAGGGGGGGGGGAAACAGACGTACTTTTGTTTTGTTTAGATGCGTTTGTGCCCCTATAACCTGAATTCAGACGAGGATTAAGCGTCGAGAACTCTACAACGAATCGTCTTCTTTCTCTAATAATTTAATAAATCGAAAAAAATTTCCGCGCTTCGCGCGTAGTGCAAAAACTAATTTCAGACGAGAATTATTTTTCGAGAACGGTACAACGAATCGTCTTCTTTCTCTAATAATTTAATGAAACGTCAAAGCTTCCGCGTTTCGCGGAGGAGGGAGGGGGAAACTCGCCCCTCCCTGCACCGACCCCCCCCCGCATTACGTCACTGTTAGTCACCCTTACGTACCAATATTTGGCTCGCATAAATTCAAATTTGGGCCCCCCTAAGAAATCATTGATCCGCGCCTGATCTGATGTCATCATACAATTATGCAGAACAAATCATAAAACAGTGGAACTCATCTTCTAAATTACTTGAATTACAAAGAACACAGTATCGTTCTTCATATGGAATATTTTGGTAACGCCCAGTTTCAAGAGCTATAGGGGCACAAACGCATCTAAACAAAACAAAAGTTCGTCTGTTTGATCTATTTTGACATTCTATTAAATATTTTGAAGTGCACAAAGATTGTTTAAAATTACGATTGGTTTCATGTAGTTTTTACAAAATTATCTGTTATGATAAGATTGGCTAAAGGTATTATATTGTAATTTTGAAAAAAGCTCTTTGACAGTTCTTGACTCCACTGTTCGCTAAAGACTTAGACCTGGTGAACATTTTTCTTCATAATCTAACAGCCGATTGAATTTGGTGATAAAATGGTGGGTCCTAACCCATCTCACCTAATACTGCATTGCTTGGTGTATATTTCCGAACTCCTATAAGTAGAAACGGCATGTTCTGAAAAAGACACTATTTATAACAGTGTACTCATCCACACCCCAGATACCACTTGCATATTGTAGTATGGGTAAAATC